TTTTGTGTGCATAAAACCCTTTTTTTTCTAAATGTACATTCTGGTATATTGGAACATTGTTTTTTTTGCTCTTGGTGAAGAAAGTTAGAATGGAGGGATAGGCTTTTGGCAGGCTGACAAGGTCTTTGACTTACATATAGGTCGGTGCAACAAGTCGCATTTGGGCATGTTAATCGCAGCCGGGTAATGTTGGGCTTGCAATTTCAACTTTAGTAATTTTCTATTCAAGTTTATTATACTAGGAAAATGCGTAGCATTGTTAGATCCGGAGCATATCATATGATGATTATCTCATTACACAAATACGTGAATATGCATATTTTGTTACACTAATTTAACAAATTTGAACACGTGTGCGAACAGACAAAAATTTTCCAAATTACGTTTCTGATATGATCTTTATAATGCTTATACAGATGCATCAAAAAAGCAACTTTTTGGGGGTGAAATGTATCAAAAACATAATTTTTGTATTACTTAATATGTAAAAATTGAGTGTCTGTCGCTACGCTTCGGCCAATTAATAAAGTATTGTATTTGAGCTCTGGCAAGACTGTCAAAGCTCCAAAAAAAAAAAAAAAAAAAAATATCAATGATGCTAGCAACCATAGTTCATTTGTCTTTTGTAATTATAATTGCTTTTAAATGCTTTCTATCAGCAGCTGTATCTTTATCTGGGTGAACAGTAAGTGAACTTGCAAGTATTTCAATATAAGGTTTTAGTTTGAGTATTCTAACCCATACATTGTAAGTAGAGTTCCAGTGAGTTATGACATTATTTTGCATACTCAAAAGACTATTATTTATCTAATTTTTGTATTAAATTAATTTTAGTAATATTAAAGAAATAACACAATATTTACTTTAAACTTCCTTCAATTATTTCTTCATTGTTCAATTCTTGTTGTGCTCAAACTGATGCTTGCATTACCTCAAGACATTCACTTTGTTTGGGCTTAGTAAAAAATATAATCAAACATTTTATCTGGATAATTAGCTACTTAGTAGGTAAAAGTTTTTTTTGCACAATTAAATTTAGAGATGGAGATTGATCAAATTTTCATTAATCGATCATTGATCGATCATATGTATAGTAAATCGATATTTAATCGATCACATGTCTTGACCAGTCATATACTTTAATCAATTACCATATCTTGATCAATTATATTACTTCGATCGATTACTATGCTTTGATCGATCATTATTGGTCATAATATTTTGATCGGTCATGATATGTCCAAAAAAAATTTTATGTATAGTGTATTGAAAATAAATTTTCTAAGTTATCAATCTCAATAAGCAAAGGGTTTAGAACTCTCAATCTTTTTGTATAAAACAACAAGCAAAGAATAATATGTACATAATAGCATGTTATTGAGAATAACAAATTTAGTTTATCTCCAATGACTAACCTTTATACTTTATAAAGTCATTGAAGTTTTTAGATTTCCTGCACTGTACGTATAAATAAAATAATACTATATAGCGATAGACATATAGTATATATAGTTACAGTCTAATTGTATATACATATGTATGTACGTACTATAATAAAAAAGTCTCTAACAGATAGTATGTATGCAATTAGACAGTATCGACTGTATGTATAATGCTTTTATTGACCTTACTGAGCAAATTAACAAGGTTCATATTAAAGCCAACTGTTATTTTTACTTGCACACTCAGGTTTCTTAAGATTTAGTAAAACATATTATAGGATAGATAGAATTATAGTTATTGGACAGAATTAATGTAAATTAACTATATCAGGAGTTTTTTGGTTTTTTTTAAATAATCCTTATACATACTGTACAAATCATACGTGATTATAAATTGTATATGAAAGATCTATTTGCTGTAAATCAAGTATACAACTTTTCATCACCAGATGAAAGTTATGATGTTGAATCTGTGCATTTGTATAATTGTAACAAATAAAGTAGATAAATGTATAACTTATAAATTGTACTTAAAAATTTTTTTTACATTTATCAACAAAGCAACAAACGAGTTAGTAAGCTTGAAGCTTAAAATGCTAAATTATATAAATGTGTCATATATATACTTATGAAAGATCAGCTATTGTAAACTTAACAGATGGGCATAATGAATTATAGACTATTCTTTAAAAATCTCAAGATTTTATTTAATAAAATTTAGTGATTTTCTTTTTGTGACATTGGTATAAATAATTCTGAAAGATTAATATATAAATAATACCAATATTCATTTATTATTCTGCATAATGAAATAAACCTGTTTCTATTTCAATCTTTTATTTATCTGAATTCTTCATCATTATTAATATTCATATAATGAAATATTAAAATAATTTTAGATATGTGTTAAAGAACTTAAATATATCCAAGCAGGCAGTGTTAAATAAATTACCTAAATACTATATTTAAATTTCTATAACTTGTGCTGAAGCGAATATAAAAAAAATATATTAAAATTATTAGATAAATAGCATGTGTTCCTTAAATACTAAAAAAGAGTCAAAATCAAATTACCTTATAACAAATAAATGTTAGTCTGTAATATTCGGAAATACTGTGTCATATCGTTCTTGGTTCGCGTGACAAAAAACCGATTTACTGAATGTTTGTGGTGTTAATTGGATTCTTTTTTTGGTTATTATATTTTCACATTGTGAAAAAAGGCACTCACAGGAGACAGAGGTGGCTGGAATTGCAAGGTATTTGCAAGCAAGACCTGCTAATATTAGAAGAGTATTTTTGTAAGCTGCCCACCACTGTAAAGAATTGTCTAAAGGTCTAATCGATTCCATTATAAAATATTGATTAATCTCATTTTTGCATATCAAATTTTTTTAAACTTCAGTAAAAACTGTTGATATAAATGATTCAGATAGATCTAGCATTACTTTATTCGATGATGATTCCAAATTTTCGTCACTTATTATTTCGTCATATTCTAATTTAAGATACTTTTGGCATGTTAATATAGCATCTGCATATTTAAAATTTTTGCACCTTGGATCAATTGCTGTTGCGATAAGTAATATTTTATTATTAGAAAACTATATTGTTATAAATATTTATTTAAATAACTAGGTAAGTTACACGTAAAACAGTTTGAGAGAAAATTAATTAAATGAGGACTGGTCTAAGAAACTGTCAATCTAAGAATTTGAGAATTTTCTGATCAATCATCAGAATGATTAATAAAAAATTAATTATTTTGATGATCAATCAGAGAATTTTTAAATTCCCAAACTAATATTTTTTTTAGACTAGTTCTCAAATAAAATAAATAATATAAAAGCGATGCACATTCTATAAAAATCAGTTATGGGATTAAACAATAAATAATAATTCAAATAAAATGAATAATACAAAAGCGATGCACATTCCATAAAATCAGTTACGGGATTAAACAATAAATAATAATTATTAGATATTGTAAATCAAGACTATTAAAACTTTACCTTATAATACTTCACAAATAACTTGAACATTATTTTTTTAATGCTTTTGACCAGATCAGTTGTAATGGCTGGAGACTTGAATTGCTCTGCATCTTCATCTTTATCTGATACTTTCTCATCATCAAATACACTTGTTAAACTAGTATTAGGATCTGTGTGTTCATCTGTAAAATTATCATTATCTTTATATTTTTTCAGTAAAGCATTTCGAAGAGTGCTTATCGTCAGGTAAATAATGCTCATAGTTGGGTATAAACTACCTGATATATAATTTGTTATGTCATTAAAAGGTTTTAAAATGTTAATAATATTAGTAACCGCGGTCCACTCATCCTCAGTAATCATGATTTCTTTTAGACGGTTTTCATCTGCGATTGCATCTTTCTCCTGTTGAACAGTAAGCGAACTTGCAAGTATCTCAATGTAAGGTTTGAGCTTAAGCATTCTAACCTATGCATTATAAGTAGAATTCCAGCAGGTTACAATATTATTTTGTGCCCGCAACAAAGTATTATCATTCTGTGTAAAAATTGATTGTCAATTATTATAATATAATATGATAGCAAGTAGTCTAGTCGCATCACTTATTTTTTATTAAATTTTTAAATTTTTATTAAGGAAAGTACACCATTATTAAAAAATTTAAAAAAAATCAATCAATCTATAAATTATTGATGCAATTAGACCCTCACTTCATATTGACTTTAAATTTACCTTTTCTCTGTTCAATTGATGTTGTGCTTGAATTGATGATTGCACTGACTTGAGGCGTTCAGTTTGCTTAGATGCACTAAAAAATTTAATCAAATGTTTCATCCAAGTAATTAAGTGTTTAGCAGGCAAAAGCCCCTTTTACACAATCAGACTCAATATATACGCAGAGTATGGAACCCACTTAATACCAAGTTTATTACATGCTGATTTAATATTTGCTGCACTATCAGTTGTAATTGAAAAAACTCTACTCTTTAGGTTCTAATATTCAAGAACATCTTCAATACATTTTGCAATTGTATCAGTAGTATGTGGATATTTAAGGGATGTAACTGCTAAAACAGCTTCATTTAGTTTGAAAATTTCATTAATCCATGTTATTGTTATGCCTAGGTAACCATTACGCGAATGTGCTGTTCATAAATCTGCAATTAACGACACAGTTTCAGCTTTGTATAAGTTATCTCACAAACAAAAACAAATTTGTTCAAATCCTTTATCAATTAGACTCTTAACCTTTCTCCTATTTGGGACAGTCTAACGTAAGTCTACAATTTTCGCAAATCGCTCAAACATTTTATCTTCTATAAATGAAAATGAAAGATTTTGGAAAATAACAACTTCAATAATAGCCCTATCACGAATGGCCTGTTCAGATATGTTATGTGGCTTTGATAAAAAAGTTTCAAATGCCTTTGTAATAGTCGTCTGTTTTTTGTTTAACTAAAGAAGAAAAAAAAAATTTAAGCTTTATTAACTTGTAAGATTTTGATTACACTAATTAAAAAAAGCTTACTTGTTGCTTGGTCTTTCTAGAGTATTTATATTCAATATTAAGGTGTCTCTATAAGGCTGTTGTTGAATTGCCGGTCTTTACTCTAGAGTTGCAGGGCTTTTTATCTGCCATTTCAATATTACACCGACCATGCTGAATCTAATCTATATATATTTCTTCGAACCACTTCCAAACAGGACTACGAAGTAAAGTTTCACCAGATTTAGATACTTTTAAGCTTTTGGAAGTTTCGCTCAATTGTCCAACTGATTCATCTTGCATGTTAACTTTTTGATGCTTAGACAAAACTTGTTTGTTATTAATATTAACTAAATAAGACGAATCAGTCTCATCATATTCAGAAATTTTTGCATTTTTTTTCCCATATGTGTACATTAAATCAAATCCATTTTTCGTCCCCGATGCTGCTTTTAAACCACAATTATGAAAAGGATCGATAGGCTGTTTTCTTAACTGAGAATATGAAACTGGAAGTGGTACTGCCACTCTTCTTTTTTTTTTATTTGAATATTTTTCATGCTTACTAATTAATGATTCTGAGTAATAATTGGAACCAGTAGGCACAGTTTCTTCATCTAAGTTTATTTTTGATCTATATTTATAAATTTCATCATCTTGCGGCATGTATTCATCATTTTTATCATCTTGTAGTATGTATTCATTATTTTTATTGCTATGCCAAACTCTTTTTGGTATTTCTACGCAATCCATCTCTTGTTTATATGTTTCTGGATTTACTGCTCTTGTATTAATGAAATGAACAGAAATTAACAATAAAATATCAATTTAAACTAACTCTTTTAAGGTTCTTGTCTCTCTTTTATAACTTTTTGTCTTCTTTTTTTTCTCTTCTTGTTCTTTCCCTTTTTTTTATATATATTTATTTTTTTGACTATATACAATACTTGTTAGTAGGATTGGAAATTATACTTTACGGCTCAAATACTAAATCATTTGAAGACTGTATACGGTGAAATAGTATTGTCACTAGAAACTTAGAGGAAATGATAAGAGATCTTATTGCTATTAATGTAGTATGAACATACACATGTTGGTAAACGTGACAATAACAAATAATAATTTTTGAATTTTAAATGATTTAAAAAAAAAATAAAGCTGGTTTCAAAACTTTAAATCATGTTACCCTACTAATAAGTAAAGCTAATTACCTAATGCTTTGTTAATAATTCAGGCTTTGTACTACATGTTGCGAAGTTAGCCAAACTACTTAAATTGAGCAACATGTATAACGTATATACGTATGTATGTGATTGATTAAAACTTATGACCAATCAAAACTTATGACCGATTAAAACTTATGACTGATCAAACTCAGTAATCGATCAAGGTCTTGTGATCGATTAAATTTCTATGATCAATCATGCTTAAGCAGAATTTCAAGATCGGTCACGATTAATTTGACCGAGTGATTAATTATTTTATGACCGATCTCAATCTTTAATTGAATTTAGTATATATGCAGAGTATAGAATCCACTTTACTGAGCTTATTACAAGCTAATTTTATGTTCGTTTCACTATTAGTCGTAATTGAAAAAACTCTGCCTTTTAAATTTCAATGTTTAAAAACATCCTCGATACACTTTGTGATAGCATTAGCTATATGTGGATAATGAAGAAAATTACATGCCAAAACAGCTTTATTTAGTTCAAACTTTTCATTTACCCATGTTGTCATAATGCCCAAATAGCCTTTATGTGAATATGCCATCCACAAGTCTGCAGTTAGTGATACAGTTTCAGCTTGTTGTAAATCATATTGCAGATTAAAAGATAGTTGATCAAATCTTTTATCAATTAAACTCTTAATCTTCTCTCTCTGCCAGGTACAGCCTACCATGAATCTACAATTTTTCCAAATCTTTTAAACATTTTATCTTTTACAAATAAAAATGAAAAATTTTGAGAAACAATAACTTTGGCAATAGCTTTGTCATGAATAGTTTGTTTAGCTATGTTGTACAGTTTTGATGAAGAAATTTCAAATGTCTTTATAATAGTTATTTGTTTTTTGGCTAACTAAAAAAAATTAAATATATATAATTAGAATTTTAATTATACAAGCCAAAAAAAAAAAAAAAGAAGCTAACTTGTTTACTATTATTGGTGTATCTATGCATGATTTTTAGGTGTCTTCAAAGTACTGTTGTCGAATCTCTAGTCTTTACTTTTGTACCACAGGAATCTCCATCTGCTATCTCAACATTACATATACTATGTCAAACACCAACAATTTTTGCTTCTTTAAAAAATTTCTAAACAAAGCTATGAAGTAACGATCTACCAAATTTAGATATTTTTGTACTTGTAGTAGTATTGTATAATTGTTTAGCAGACTCTTCTCATTCATCATCTAAACAAAATGAATCAGTCTCTCTATTATGTACAGGAATCCTTGTATTTTTTCATTTTGTATGTATATCTGATTAAATACATTTTTTGTTTCCAATGCTGGTTTTAGTTTACAATTACAAAAAGGATCAGAAGGTTGTTTTCATAGCTGTGAGCATGAAACTGCAATTGATGCTGTATCTACTCTCTTTTGTTTTTTATTTGAATATTCTCTATGTCTATCAATAGATTGCTCAAAGTAATTGGAACTGGTAGGTAATATTTTTTCTGAGCTCACATCCGACATATACTTATTAGCTTCAGTGTTAATCATTTTATTTTGACGTTTCTCTAGTACAATCACACAATCTAATACATGTTCATATATCTGAACTTGAACTTTTAGTGAAAGCTCTTTCAGAACTCACAACCATTAATAAACTATTCATACTATAAAAAAATAAATACTGTAAATATATGTGAAATATATAGTACTAAGATACTGTATTATCATAATTTTAAACTAATGTTTTTATTGAGAATTTCTCTTCTTTTTTATTTTTGGGGTCTTTTTCTTAAAAGGTTTCTTTTCTTTCACTTTCTTGTCTTTTTTTGGGAAGTGTTTCTCATTTTTTGATTAAATGTTTATCATAAACAAAACCTTATTATTATTTTTTTTAACAAAAATTAAAGTTTGGGCAAAAGAAAATCTAAATTATTCAAATGCGATAACAGTAGAAAAATATCTACTACTGAGTGCAAAAGAGAAGATGATAAGATTTTGCTGCTAAAATTGGTGAAAAAGTTTTTATAACGAATCTCAAATATTTTTTATTGTGTAATATAACGTCATGATGCATATATTATGCATTACACAAATAAAAAAAGACTTTTTACACTTTCATGATGTATTATACAAGTAATTTAAAAGGTTAGAAAATTCAGAAAAGTACAAATTAACTTGTAAAAAAAATAATTGCTTCACCTGTGATAACGATAAGATTATACAATAAAATTTGGGGGAATTTGAACTATATAGAGGAAAAATAGTCTAACAACATCGTCGAGGTATCCTTGACAAATCTAAAACCAATAGTAGACATAGAAAGATGAGTCAGTAGATAGATCAAGCTATTTTTACAAATTAATAATTCAAAAAATGTAAAAAAAATGACAGGTTGAATCAATGAGTATCGGGTGTATACTGGGAGAAAAGTTCCCCGATATGTACCCGTTAGTCTACCATAGATCTACCAAATAACTGCAGCACATTTGTAAAATATCAGGAAGTAGATCGATATCGGTAACATAACAGCGCAATATTGGGATACCTTAATATCTTACTCTTAGCATTCTGGGCCTAAAAGTAAGAAATCGGGGGTATCCTAATATTTTGCTGTTATGTTACCGATATCAATTTACCTCCTGATATTTTACCAATATGCTGCCAATATGCTGCTAATATTTAGCAGTTATTTGGCGGATTTATGGTAGACTAACGGATACATATCGGGAAACTTTTCTCCCGGTATGTACCCGATATTCATTGATCCAACCTGTGTATTCTAATAAAAATAAGTTAAGTTTTATACCTTGAAAGATAAAAAGTCATTGTATGAAAGCAAAATTTTTTCATAAAATCATCATAATTTCTTTCTCAATAATTGTAAAATAGTAATAAATAAACTCCAATCATTGTAAAAAAATATATATTAAATTAATTATTATAGCGATAAAGTTTGTACGAAATGCCGAAATCGTAATCTTGTAACAGATAATAAGAAACTCGTGACCGATTATGCATATAATCGAACAAATTTCTTTGATCGGTCATATCATATTGATCGATTACTATAATAAATCGGTTATTAGTCGATCACATTTATCATCGATAAGTTCGAACAAAAAAAATTATGATCGATCACGATCAATTCAATCAAGCAATCGATTATATTAGTATCGATTATCATCTCTAGTACTATGAATCCCGAGGAAGTGCCGTTTATTACATAATTTCTTTTTATTACTAGAAAACAGGTGCTGTTAGATGTCCGAAGCGATATTTTTTTTGAATTAAAAAATTGCTCATCTAATCTAAAAATAGGCATGGACACAAAATCTGGTCTATTAAGTTCTCGCTATGCTTCGGATAATAAGGTTATACCCTGTGATCAAATTAGCAACCAATCATAATTTTTTATATATATAGCCCTCCCTCCCCTAACAATACAAGTGATTTACACGGTATAATATTAGGGTGTTCAGATTAACCATAGCTGCCGCAACAAATTTGGACCGGCAGATCCTCGATTTTGATTGGCTAACGGCCGAGGATCTTCGA